AATGTGTGCTGAAGACATCCATCACTAGTGTGTGATAATTGTAAAAAACATTAAAATATATCCACATAATAAACATGGAGGATATATATGCATGTATGTGTTCCTAAAATTGAAAATACTTTGTTATTTATTTTGCATTATCATCTATTTTGTTAGTACTATTGGTCATGTCTGTGATATATGTGAGTGTGTTATGGCAATGTCATCAGGTTTGTCAACTGACAGTATGTGCTGAAGACATTTATTGTTAAACAGCATCATAAAAAAATTAAAATAAACATGGATGATGAAGTCGAATGAACAATTAAAAGACTTTGTGCTATGTATTTCTGCGTTGGAACAATGTTGTCCATAGGTGTAACACATTAAACATGTTATGTGTGGCACATTAAATATAAATTTGCTCACCTGACACTAGGCTCAACCGATTGAATGCCACTGCCCAGGCACCGTCGCTTCGGGGGAGGTCTCACTGGTTTGATGGCGCTTCCATCGGCACTGATAGGGTCTGGAAACTCTTTCGTGGGATATCCATTCACAAAATGCTAACAAATATTTTAAAAATAAATACATTAAATTATCACCTATACGATTATATTGCCTTGGTAGGAACACGACGTTTAGCTTGCTGAACTACTTAGTACTTTGGTGGTTGTAGCGAATTAAGAATTGTCAACCAGTATCGTTATATAGCCAAAGAAAACGCTGCCGTGCGACAATATATTGCGTTGGTAAACATATAATCCGAAGATATATCGATATGAATACGGTCATATGCTAGAAAGACCAGTTTATACCTACACTACACTCAGTCATACCTTGGAGCAGACGAACTTGTGTTTGTTTATGTTGCCGACATTCAGTTGTCCGTGGGGTCGGCCACACGCTCTAATCCACCGCGAGCACTTCTCAAACTGGGTTTTCGGCTTGGGAAATGGCAGGAAATGGACATTAATGACTCTCTCTGGGTACCTTTCGTCCGAATTGCATGTACCCCAAGCGCAGCGCTTCACCATTTCGAAAAAACTCGCTGACAGCTATGTCCTTAGATACACAAAAGCTTGGGGGACCAAATGGCGCCTTAGCGACAAGCTGTGCACCAGTAAAGGCGCGGAGCGTGCTGATTGGTTAATTGATTCAGCATCGGAACTATGCATAGTCAAGAGGACCTCAATAAAAAATAGTGGTAACGAGGTGCTTAGCATAGACGACACCGATGTATATTACTGTTACATAGACCTATGGAAAAGTGAGGGAGAACGTGCCAACAACGTGTACCAAGGAATCAGTAAATCGACTAGGTTACGTATCGGGTACGCCTTCACACAAGACGAGACAGCTAAACTATCGAATATTGAAAAAGCCATCGCCGAAGCGTATGGAAACAGGTTCTGTATCCCGCTAGAGTTGCTAACGGGGCACGCACCATTTTACCAAGCCGCATTAGGTGACGGGTTGGAATATGAACTCACATTCAATGATTACAGCAAAGTCGTGTATACGCCGAACGGTGAAGAGGGTAGTTACGATATCGATAACATCTCGTTGGAGTTCGAGATGGTGACTAATCCTGATCTCGCCCGGCAGATTCGAAATCAGTACTCTGGGAAAATGACCATCCTGTACGATAGGATACTGCGACATAGAATGATATTACGTGTCAAGAGCGACACGGTATGGAATATCAACATGAACGTGCCGGCGCGATCGATGAAAGGTATATTAATAATACCCGTGAAGGAATACGATCCATTCGAAAGAGACAGCGAGAAATTTTTCAACCCAGGGATCACCAAAGTCGAAGTGACCATAGAGGGAGTGCCTAATCAGCTATTTAGCCATGGAATGAAGGCATATCAGCAGTGGGATGAAATAATGAAGCTACCGGCTATCAAACGAAACTCAATAGTCAACAACGTAGTCAATGACCTGGATCTATCCTCCGTGCATATCGGGGATTACCTAACCACAAAGTACGCGTTATGGTTGGATTTGAGATCGACAGATGACGACACTCTTCGCGGTAGTGGTCGTCGCATCGACAACGGAAGCGAGGGTATTACCATTCAAATAATGAAGAAGGCTCAAACAACTGGTAAATTAAAATTATATTTATATGTAATTATGGACGCGCAACTTAATATAGAGAATGGGAGATTTGTGCAAGCCATCTATTAATTTACCACGAGATCCGCACTGTGCTATAATATGTGGGCAGACGGGTTGCGGCAAGACAGTTTTCGTACTGGATTTGTTGGAAGGGTACTATAAAGACGTATTTGACAATATCATTATCTTATGTCCTACTATAAATATGAACAAGACTTACACGGATAGATCTTGGGTGATGACGGATCCCGATGTATATAAAATCGATCCGGGAACACACCTGCAGGACTATTTGAAAGTTTATCCCAACAAATTTAAAGGGAAGCCGACGCTATTCATCCTGGATGACTGCAGCGCTAATAGAGAGATAACGAAAAGAGAGATATGCTGTCCTACCTAGCGTTTTCAGGTCGACACGCAGAACATAGCGTCTGGGTGCTGACACAAAAATTCAACTCTGTGTTAAAGGATTTACGTGAACAGACGCTATGGGTAGCTCTATTTCACTGCAAGGACAGGGATTCGTTCGAGGAATGCTTGAGAGAGAACGATGTGATGAGTAAACTAGACCAGGAACAGGTTAAGAAACAGCTCGCCAAAACTAAACATGCTAAGCTCGTGTTGAAAACCGACCAACCAGTGGATTACCAAGTAATAGTTTAGTAATTTTTAGTAAATTTTAGTAATGTTTTAGTAATTTTTAGTAAATTTTAGTAATGTTTTAGTAATTTTAGTAAGTTTTAGTATAAATGTCGGTTTTTGAAGTTATAGTCGTGTGTAACCTAACCTTTATCTCTATGTATTTAGTGTGGGTTGGTTATTATTTAAAAAAAATTAAAACTAGATTACTATATTATAAAATGGATTGTGATGAATTACTAGAACAGATATTAGTTTCAGATGAACAAAAGGACGACAAGCAGCGAGACAGACTGGTAACACTAGTTGTGGGTGGTAAGGCAAAACAATATTTAGGAGATAATATAACTGCTGATAAAATTCAGAAAATGTCAGATGAGGAAATAAATAAATTATACGCCAGGTATGAGTCACAACTCGGGGCTGAGATGACAAAAGTTATAGGTTCTACTATTACCCAGATTTACACAGGTATAGCGTCATTATTTTACCCATCCCACCGGAACGTCGACTCTATTTGTGGGAGGACCTAGAGAAAGACCCGTTTATTGAACACGCCTTGAGCTCTATCAGCTGCGTGCTGTACCACAAATACGGGATGTTTTTAGCCCCGGTGACGGCGGCGATTATCACAGCAAAGCATTGTCAATTTAAAGAGGAAAAAAATAATAATAATAATATACAAGATGGATACTACCCAGGAAGAAATAACCAAGATTCCAGAGGAGGAAACACCGAAGACGGAGCCAGTGACGCATGTCACAAAGAAGAACAAAAAAAGAGTTGAAGCTGGTAGAAAAAACGCCTTAGCCAGGCACCATAAAAATAATTACACATTGTGGTTTACCGTAGGTGGTGTAGTAGCCACTGCTGTTGTTTCATTATTTATGTTATATAAACCAAAACAAACACAACCACAGCCATCACCAACACCCCCAGAGGAGATCAACCCTCATATTATGTTATAATTAAAATTATATTTCTATTAATATATATTATGTCTGAGGGAAAAACATTCGTTAATGATGCATACCACGCCTTAGTGGTTTCCGGATTAGCAGTAGGATACGCTCGGTTGACTAAAATGATTATAAAACAACCGACTATAAAACTCGACTTCGACCTGCAGGATATTGCTATGCTTACTATGAATATTGGTATGGCGATGGCCACCAAGGACGTTCTGATAAAACAAGGTATTATACCTGAAAATATTTTAAAGTAATATATATAATATGGCCACGATAGCAATGATGGTTGGTGGAGCTCTTGTGAATGCCCTAGCATTTTCCGGGAGTAATTATCTATTTTCTAAATTACGAGAGTCAAACGCGGCTGAGGTAGAAGCGGAGAGAAAACGACACGATATAGCTGTAGAAAAACTGCAGACCGCACAGGCTGAATACGCTAAGAGACGCATGAAGAGATTAGATTTTATCAATAATCAACTACAACGCGAAAATCATTCTGTTAGAACTTTCAAGGACGTCGACGAAGCTATGAAAGAATACTACGTGCTAACAGGTAAACAACTAGAACCATTAGGCAATGCACCAACGATTTCACAGTATTACACTCCTTCCGATGGGCAAAAAGATCGTGAGTTGGTATTCGTGGCACTGGGTTTAGCATCGACAGTGTTAATTGTGAAACAATTAGACTAATTACACAAATTATTATATCAAAAATGAGATACGCACCATATCTTTGTCAATGGGTTCTTATGGGGAAAACTGAAATTTGTGGTAATAAAAGCCGCATTGAGGGTTATTGTTGTTTTCACCGTAAAGGTTATACTAACTATACGTGTTCGGTGTGTGGTATAGGAGTTAAAGGTCATTACCGATTATGTAAAGCCCATGGCGCGGATAAATTACGATTTAAACTTATTTATGATAAGAAAAAAGACTACATCTGCGAAGTTAAACGTTTGTTAAAGATAATGGTATAAGTATATATATTTTTTATCACTGTGGTATGATTTGTAATTCCTCACGTACGAATCCTCTACGTGGTCCGTCTTTCAAGAAGTATAGGTTAGGTTCCCCGTCTTTGACATCCACTCGACTGATATTGTACGTTTTCATAGACCATATAGGATCTGTAGCACGTTTACGGGTGTCTCCCTCGTATTCACCTGGTTGATATAAATATCTAACAAGCGCGCGATCTGGAATTTTTTTTTCCTTTTTACGACGGGGGTGCTGCTGCCTCTGATACAACGGATTTCATACGGATTGCTTCGACTGGTCTCTTATCAAGTAGTCTTGTTATTTCATGATTCATGAAGTCAACCACCCGTGGAAGTCGTTCTACCCATTCAGTGTTTCTGTTATTAGGATCCGCTAAATCACGTGAATATTGGTGTGAAAACAAACGTTCGGCTATGGAGCGATTGAATCTCTCTACTATAGCTTGACTTCGATGGGCTCCCACCTCACCGCGTCTAACTTCTACGTTTTTCTTGGTTAGCAGTTTCGACACGGATCCCATGAATTCCCGGCCTGGATCGACTTGCAATAAATCAGGCCATGTAAGCCTACTACACTTGTATATTCGCTTAAACGCTTGTGCTACTTGATCCGAGTCTTTCGTGGTTAATGGTTCAGCTTCCTTGTAGCGGCTGGCTACGTCTACAACTGTCAGGGCGTACTTATAGGTTTTACCTCTCACCCTGTCGTGTGGAAGAAACAACAGGTCGGCCTGGTGAACTTGATTAGGTGTATGTATACCGAATTTTCTCCTCGGTATATATTTTGGTGCTGGTAAGTATATTTGCCATATAGCTTGTTTTTGTAACCAGGCTTTGGCTTTTTCTTCCGAAACACGTGCGGCTTTAGATAATTTTGTAATAGCGTCTACCCCTTTCCAATATCCTCGCGGGCTGTAGTAAATTTTCTCCATTATATATATAAATTTAAATTTTTTATGACCGTAAGCAAAGGTTTTGACACCATCTGAAGCTATCCATCGTTTTGTATCCATTGGTGATAGAGATGTCTTATTTATAGTCATCCCGTATATCTTGTGCCCGTCACTACGAAGTATGTTCATCTGGTGTTTGAACGTTTTCTTCTCGAACAGGGTCTGTTTGTAGAGGGTATGTTTAATATGTCGTTTCACCACGTTCTTTTTCACACCTTTAGCCTTTCTTATTTCAGCGTCGTCTGCTTTTTTGATAGAATACATCTTAGGTCTCAATCCGACGTATTCGGTGATTGGTGTGCCAGCACATTCATCCTTCATCTTACCTAACACCTTTTTGTTGACTTGGCTATGCATGGGGTGGTCTTTTGGGTAATCGCTGGTATCGTATAGGTGTATCTTGTTTTTCATATCCTTGTACACATCCTCGGTTTGAATTTCCATGAGTAATGAATCCGTATCCGTGTACAACACCTCACACCCTTCACCGTATTGTTTCTTGAGCTCGTTATAGTAGAAGTCATACATGAGATGTTTGGATAGGTCTAGAATGCTCATACCAACATAAACCGGTCGATTAAGTATAATGTGGCTCTTTTTCATATGTATCGCTGCCAAGTCATCATCGAATATAATACTTCTATTGTACGCCGGGCTGGATATCAATTTCCTGAGTTTGTTTTCCTCACTCGACCGGACTAGCTTCACGTTAACGCGTTTTCGTAAATTCTCCATCGTTTTGCCAAATACAGAGTTGTTCATGAGTTTGTACAGGTTTTTCTCAAAGTCGCTGGTGGCTATCTTACGTAAATCCGTGTATGGTTCCATCCACTTGCTTTGATTGAATTTTAGTACCCTATGTATTTTAGTCAGCTTCATACCCATCGACAGATATAGTTGTAAATTGCGATAGTGAATGATGTACTTGGTTTTATTCATCAAGTTAGGTACGAGTTTTTCAACGTTTACCACCCGTCCTGTAGGACCCAGCAAATTTCGTTGGTAGTCAGACATCCATTCCATATTCACCTTCAAACGCTCTGGAGCCAGGGGATAACTGTTGTGTGAGGTGTGTAAATCCTCCGGATATTCTAAATCCACTTCGAATATATAACCCTTGTTCGAATCCGGTGCGATGCTCATAACATCATCGATCTCAGATGTCCACTCGAAACCACAGGTAGGTAGATACTGGCTCATGGCCCAGCCGTACAGGTTGTTTGCATCTAGATAGAGTAGATAGTTTGTAGGTTTTTTAGGGTTGTAACCTTTCACATACTCGTTGTTAGCTTTGGCATAGCGTTTTGATACCATGGAAATACCACCGCGTAACCCTTTCTCTATAAACAGATGCATATCATAATCGGTGAATAAATCTAATTTCACACCGGTTTTTTTCAGTAGGGCATCCCACGAGAGCCCAGGACTTGATTAATACCATGCCGGGTCCAACACGTATTGCTTCGAACACGTTTTTCTGAATATCTCGAAAACATCACCCAGCAATAACACATCTGTTTTCAAATACAAATCGTGATAATCACCTAGATTCTGACATCCCAGTTTTTCCCATACTTTTTTCGCGTGTTCGTAATCGTCTTGTGTGATAGACGCGTCGGACAGCTTGCTATAGAAGCTGTCAATGGGAGGTAACTGTGTCTCATTAAACTTAGACCAGTCATCCATATATTCATATGGGTAGATACCCTTACGTAGCAGCAAAGCTCGAGTTTCCTCTTCTGTGTAACGATTAGTTGCAGCTAAGTCTTTTGGGTTATTAGCCGTGACCAAGCTGTCTAGAGACGACAACAGAAACTGAACACTATCTATGAATCTCAACCCATTTAGCGAAAAGGATATACATCTTTCCATATTGTTTGGGATACAGGATATGTTGCCTTTTACCTTTGAAATAGCTTGCATAATCAAGTGTGAATCATACCCGCGAAGATTTTGAAACACCACTGGTATATGAATAAGTTTATGATTTATTCTTAGCTTCAAGTTACATTCATTGTGAGCCGCACCTCTGTATTTACCAGTAATGTGACAGTGATCTCTAACTGAATTACCATTCTGAGGTTTACAGCACACATGACAATGTGTGCTTTTGTTGTGGGCTTCCCGGTCTGCTTTGGTCATACGCATTGGTGTTTTGTTGCATAGTTTTTTAATAATCTTTTTCTCTTCGTGTTGTAAACACTTTAGAAATTCTTCAGCCGCGTCTGGTCCTCTATAAATAACGGGAGGGTTAGTTTGACAATCACAACGAACAACCACATACCCGAACTCACACGCTTCGTGCTCTTGTACTTTTTGTGTGAAACTTTGATTAGTGGATTGAGCTACTGTATCGATTGGTTTAATGATAGCTTCGAAGTCGGCGTAGATAATATATTGTACTGGCATTTGATTTTTGTGGTTGATAAATTTCAAGATGTTTTTTTTTTCTGTCAGCATATCTATTCGTACGTCTGTCTCCCCTACACCTAGGCAATCAACCCTGTGCGAATCTAGCAGATCAGCCCTAGAAAACCCGTGAAGGCACCTTTCAGAAAAGTGTTTCTTTTCCCTGTGTTTCGATTGATTGTACAACAGTCTGCTGAAATTCTTTATCCATGTGTAGTGATATTTTTCACCTTGTTGGATCATAAATATATTGATCATTTTACGACAAACCTTATACAATAAAGGACTTATCCTGTGTACTATTACGTTTTTACCTTCATGTCCGAAAACGTTTATGGCTAAGTCTTGATTCTGTTGTTTTATTTTTTGGATCTGAGAGATGGGGGTGGGTTCGTCTATACCTTCCCAATTGAGCCCGTCGTCTTCTGGATAACTGGAAAGTCTATCGGAATGTTTTTCAACTGGAAATTTAGCGGAACTTATCGTTATCCTCATACAATTGTTGCCTCGGTTTTTAACGTTAACCACAGCTTGTTTTTTCTTGAAATACTCAGACAGTGGTAAGTACGATCCACCTTTCAACGGTATATAGTTTGCTATATCCAGGTAGACCATGTTAATCTTGTCAACAACCCAACCAGAACCCATATTAGTGTAACGTTCTAGTGTTTCTCGCATTTTTTCTAATGATCTGTCTATAGAAGAGTTGATAGTGTCTGGTTGCGTTGTAACTTCTTGATTACCTCTGAAGTAAACATTGGTGTATTCAGTTGTTTCATTCGACTGTTGTTTCTCTAGTGTCATGTTTAACGTGAGTTGAAATTTAATACCTCTTAAATCTTTCAGTTCTTCTTTTACTTTGTCAAATACCAATGGTTTTATATCTTCAACGTCTATGTTTCTTTGAACTTCCAACCTCTCAAATATTTACCTACATCATGCTCAGTAGGCGTGAATTGTAATTCTATAGGTTTTTGTTCTTTCAGTAATTCAATGAGCTCAGATTTCCTCATACGAGAATAACCTCGCATTCCACGTTCACGAGCTTGCTTTGTTAGTTCTTTCACAGTAGGCGTTTTTTTATACTTAAAACCTAAGAAATCTAGTAATTCATGTCTTCTCATTACGTTACGTTACGATCACTCTCCGCTACACCCTGGATGCATCCACGGCTTAGGGCGATGATTTTATTACCTCAATTGGCTGACTTTTATCCAATCAGGTGCCTACGCTGGGAAGTTGAGCGTACCAATCACAACTCACTTTCGCTTCTTAAATTATCTAACCGTTAAAACTTGGCAACACAATTGATGCAGAGGTACTCTGAAAGAAGTAGAAGGAGTTCTTTATATACTTTTTAAAGTTTCAGATCTGTCAATTTGTCTTTATTATTTCCCAAAAAAATCTGAGTGGCACTGCGAACAAACCTTCGCGACTGCGATTGCTATCTTTGTTGATACTGGCATGCTCGGTTGTAACGGCGGCTTAGCTTATTGGCTACTGTGAGAATGCGGAGCCAGCCAAGGGAGGTAATAAAATCATCGCCCTAAGCCGTGGATGCATCCAGGATATAGTGGAGAGTTATCGTAACGTATACCCTGGAGATTATCGATGATGTCTCTCTTAGAGCACAGCCAAATATGCCACACGTACCAACTCGTAATTCTTAAGTCTATTCAGCTCACTACTGTAAAATATTTTTGGGCAGTACATAATTGGAATATTTTTGCTCTGCATGTGACCTTTTTTAATAGTCTCACAGTGTCGAAACCATGTTATTTCTCCTTCCGCTCAGCCTTTGCTGTAATAACGCCATACATCAGCTTTAAGTTGTCCACATTTGTTTCTCTAACGCAAAAGTATGCGACAACAAACAATGCCATATCAAATTAAAACTAAATACGGGCTGATGCTGAAAAAGATCATTCATGGATGAAGCCTTGAAATGGAAAATTCTGATGGAAAATTCAGAACATGCTTCACCGTTGTTCTTTCATCTCACTGGATAAGGAAATGGAGGATCGTCAGCTTTCAACAAATAGTCATGAGTATATCGTGACGAGAGATACTCTATCGTCTTAATATGACCTCTTCAAATCTGGACTGACAACCTAACTGGTGCACCCGGTAGTTGGTGTAATGTCGTGTAATTTATATATATCTACTCGGGTGTCCCAATTAGTTGCATAAGATCCCGGATGAAGCATCTGATGAAAGTTCTATAATCATTGTACTGGTGTCACAGGCTTCTCTAGAGCTGCCCTTGCGGCAGCATCAGCCATTGTGTTACCCGCTCTGCTGACATGACTGAGCAACCAATAAATGACAATGTCGTATTGCCCAGTAGAAAGATCTTTTTTATGACTTTACAATTTCTAAATTCGATGAGTTGAAGACACATCGTTAAAAAAAAGACAGGGAATAGATTATA